CAGGCTGGCCTCGAACTCACAGAGATCCGCCTGGCTCTGCCTCCCGAGTGCTGGGATTAAAGGCGTGCGCCACCACCGCCCGGCTCTATTAAGTAATTCTTAATTCTGTTTTCTAGAACAGTGCAAAGTCATTTCCATTCTTCCTTCAGTGTGATACTCTTCACCTGGTAAAACAGAGCTGTAAGTCAGATGTGATGGTGCAGGCCTCTCAGACTTGCAGTAACCAAGACACAGGGGTTGGAGGACAGGCCCTCAGAAAAGAACATAGGGCTGGGCGTGGGAGAGACAGGTGGATTGCTACAAGTTTGAGGCCAGCCTGGTCTGCATACATAGTGAGTTTCAGGCTAGTCAGAGCTACAGAGTGAGACTGTCAACAACCCTCTCCCCGCCAAGCCCAAAACAAACAGATAAGAAACAGAAATCATAAAAGGCATAGTTCAGGTATAGTTTGGGTGATTGTGGATTTCCCTCCCCAGTGCTTCTTGGTTTTAGAAAGTATTTTGTGAATTTGGCTAGAATTTAAGAAACCAGAAGGGACTATTAATGGATATTCCAGCAAAACTGAATATTTGAAGTTAATTATTGCGTGTATATGAATGTGTATATATAAGATGTGTGTTCATGCCATAGCATGCATGTGGAGGTCAAAAGAGTCCCTAAAGGGAGTTTTAAAGTGTTCTGAATAAGTTGTATTTAAATTCAGTGGTGGCAGAAATCTGCAGAAAATAAAAATACAGCTGTTGTTCAACTCGTTAAAAGGGCCTATTCTTTTCAACTTGTTAAAAGGGTCTACCCCTCTTCAACTGAATAAAGGGTCCTACCTCCCTTCAACTTGTTGGTCAGTGGGGTCCCATAGACTCCCCCAAACAGTGCAGGCTATTGTGATTGCTCTTGGCTGCCCACCAGGAATTAGAAGGATGTTGAGTGTTGAAGTTAGTCACCACATACTTGAGTCATGAGAGAGAAATCAAGCTGGTACTGACCTGAAAGCTTCATCTGAATTGGCTAGCTTTCGTATTGCCAGAAGGTGCTATGCAGGTTACTGAGAGAGAAGAGCCATCAATATCTTGTCCAGCTGTGAACCCTGGGAGCTACGTTAATGAATCCTGGCAAGATATGCCCACTGGTGTATAGTGGCGTGCATGTTATGAAAGTAACCAACAACTTTCAGGTTGAATTTAAGGCCTGACCCTAAAGATAGAACTCATACCTGGTATTGTTAACTGGGCCAAAAACACATTGCTGGGTAGGCCATAGGCTCTAGAGGAGAACCTAATATTATGTTGCTAAATTGACATAGTATCAAACTGCCCTCTAAATACTTGCCATTATACCATAGATTATTGCAGCTCTTGGCTCTCATCAAAGAAGCTTCTTTTTGCCGTAGATGACAGTTAATACAGAAACCCAAAACCAGTCACAGTACAGAGAATAAGAAACTGGAGTGCTCAAGTCTAAATGGGACATCCATATCATACTTCCTCCTCCCAAGACTCAAAAAACATCATGCACAGAAGGGTAAAACTAGAGGTTGTGGAGGACTGCTGCAAAACAGTGTTCTCCAGACACAACAGGGCTGCTGACCATAAACGTTCATAGTAGCTGTGTCTGTGTGGGTAAGATCCACACAAGCTCAATCTAGCAAAAATCCAGCATGAACAGGGAAGCAGTCCACAAAGTCCCACTCATAGCCAAGGAACTATTGACTGCTCGGGAAGGTCAGTCAGTTTTCTTCAGGGATGCAGATCCTGGTAGCTGGCCCTTGCTTCACTGAAATGGCTCTACCCTCACATACTGGCAGTACCAAAGGGACTAGAGAGTTAAACAAACAAAAGCAGCACATGAATTAAAGATGGAGAAGTGGTGTGAGGAAAGTGGGTTAGGGTGCGTTTGCTCAAAACACTTGTATATGTTGATAGAGAGGTGGATCAGTAGTTAACAATGCAGATCGCTCTTGTAGAGAACCTCAGTTCAATTCCTAGCACCACATCAGGTGGCTCACAACTGCCGAACTTCAACATTGTATACTTGTATGAAAGTCTCAAAAAAAAAAAAAAAAAAAAAGGGGGACTTAAACAAGATGGTAGTATGTAACTCTCCTGTAAAATTCTGGCAGATGTTTCAAACTGTCATCATGTCTGTTAGCCTTCTCTTCCTGTTACTCCCAGATACATAACTGACCTTGGGCTCAGACCCGAGGCTTTTAAGTTCCAGACTTTGAGATGAAGAAGCTGCTGAGACATTTACATGGCTACACCCAGACACAGAGGTGTAGCTTGCTGTCTCTCCTCTTGCTAGTCATGTGTAGGGATGTAATTTGGGATTTGTGCCTGGGATAAAAAGGACATAGATATTGCTTGGCAGCTAGCAGTGCAATAAAACCACTCTATCCCAAGTGGACTGCCAGTGTGATTAGTACAATGCTTTAATATAGTGGGCTCTCATGACAAAGTTGTTAGTGGGTGAGTGTTCTTATTGTACCAGAAAGCAGATATGATCTGAATATTTGCTTTTGTAAAATGGTGCTATGGCAAGTTTGCCCATCCTGTTTTCAACTACCCTTTACAAACAAGGCATATTAAATACCACATAAAATTTATTTCAGTTATATTATGGCTGTAGTTGTTCCCCATTGATTCTATGAGGCCTAATATAAATCTCTCTTTATGTGTGTATGATCAACAAGCCATTGCTCATAAAAGATGCCTAGCAAATGTTTTGGATTTATTAAACTTTAAATTGATTAAATGATTGCATTCATCAAAGTTTTATTTCCAAACATTTGATTTCCATAAAGGAAAGTTTATGTCTGCTACATACATTAAAGATATTTTTTTGGTCTTGTTTGTGTATTTGTTAAAAAAGATTTCTAGGACTTTCAATTGGCTTCCAGGGGAAAGTATGACAGATTATTTATATGTAAATTATTATAGTTAAGCACCAAGTCACTGAAGGAATTATTAGGGAAAAGGCTAGTGTAATTCATCAAAAAGGGGGAATTCTCAATGCATTTGATTACTTTAACTTCAGACTTTTACTTAATTTATTATCTGTTTACTTAACCATTTCTAGGGAAAATGCCATTTCTTTTTCAGTGTTTCATATGGGAAATTTTCTTCATGTATAAAGATAAGCGAGTCAGTTTTTCCTCAGATAGAGGCAAAGCAGTTGTATTCTCTTCTGAGTCAGTTCCCTCATGCTTTTGTTTGCAGATTAACCCTGTGATAGTAAAACAAAGACCCATCTGCTGGGCCAGTAGACTTCATGTTGGATACTTTGCATCACGTGGCCAAAATATCTGGGAACAACATGTAGGGAGGAATTTTTATTTTGGCTCCTGGTTTCAGAGGTGCCAGCCCACTTATGACTGGAAGGGCAGGTTGGAACAGAGTAGTTCATATTTTATCAACCAAAAAGGAAAAACAGAGACCAGAGCAACTTGCAGCCTTAAAGACACGTCCCCATGACTACCTCCTCCCAGAGGCACACCTCTTACCCCCATCTTTCACCTGTAGCATGAATCTATCAGGGCATTTATCCATTGATTAGGTCAGTGTCTTCTGTTTTAATTATCTTTGGAATGCCTTCACAGACATTCCCAGAGCTTTACTTTACTAACCTTTCAAATATTTATTCAGTTAGCTTGTTGGACTAACCATCAGAGAGTCAATAGCCTTCTTTGACGTGGAAAAGTTACCTGTTTTCTCATTAGACAGTACTTTTAGTTACTCTGTGGAGAAAAAGAAACTGAATCATGTCCCATTGTAGTGATAAGGGATGGCAGTCTTTACTTTCCTTGAGGCCATAGTGGATTTGAAGACAAAGTCATACTTGTTGGGCCATGTGGGCTAGTGTTTGGGTGTTATCAAATTTCCAGGGTATGTGATATACTACTCAGGCCATTTCATTGGATAGTCCGTGAAAATCCAAAAGTTTTCCTTAAGTTCTGGAAACATTGTGGAATGCTAGTAAACTGATGTTGCTTGAACATTATTTTTACTAATTAGTTTGCTTTATATGGGAATTTTCAAGCTTTTTAAAAAGTATTTAAAATGGTTATGAAGTTATAAAAATAAAATAATGTCCCTCAACAAGAAATGCAGTTCGTAAATTAATCCATTTTATATTTGCATCACTTTATCACAAATACATAGATGGCATTGTTGAATTATGTGGTTAAAATTTTAGTTCTGAAGCAAGATACCTCTGGGTAACATGTGGTGCCTCCACTCAGCATGTAACTTTAGTTAGACAAACTATTTAGCTTTTCTGTGAACTAGGTTGTATTTATCCCTGGAGAATAGTAATACTTCATAGAGTAAGTGTGGAGGAGAGGTCTGTGAGATCACTCAAGGGTTTACCATGGACGTAGGTTAGAAACCTGCAGATATTAATCCTTAAAGAGCCAGTAGAGAGCAGAAGGGAGACCACCTAAGAGAGAGTGGTGCTAAGCAACAGGGAATAAGAGTGCTCCCTTAGCAGAACCACTAACCACACCGCTCCAGAGATTAGCATGGCCCCTGGACCAAAGGGAGTACTGAATGGTATGTGAAGAGCAGAGACTGGCATAGCTTGAATTTTGAACAGTAATTAAATTGCTTTGCATTTATTACAGAAATTATGTATTCTTCTGTAATAAATAAGATGATGATAAATAAAAGATGAGAAATAAGGAAAAATATAATGAATTCTATTCTGTCTAAAAGATGTTCTATAATATTTTTATGAAGGATTACAGAATTTAGCATTCTTTCTGCAAAGATTGAAGTGACGCTTCTTTGCTTTACTGACGATGCTGAGATGACTAAAGCACGGCTTCTGTGTTGAGGGAATCCTTTAAGGGGAAGAGGCAGAGGCAGAAGAAGAGCACTTCAGGCCTGTGTATCCTGTGATGCTGCAATAGGTCCATGAGTCAACGAGCTTCGGGCACGTTCGGAAAATGCACGATAATTCTGTTCGTACGACTGCCGCATTTCTCTTTCTCTTTCTCTTTTCTTTAGTTGGAGAACACCAACTGACAGGCCATAAAGTGGCAGTTAAGATCTTAAATAGACAGAAGATTCGCAGTTTAGATGTTGTTGGAAAAATAAAACGAGAGATTCAAAATCTTAAACTCTTTCGTCATCCTCATATTATCAAACTGTAAGTATTTTTGTGTTTGAAAATATAAAAGAAATGTCCTGAAATAGTTACAACAAAATGTTATAAATATCTTGAGTTAACTTTAGAAACACCAGTTTTCATGTTCACACTCAGCGTTAATTCATTTCCCCTCTGTCAGTTCCTCAACGCACACACTTGGTTTAGGGTTAAAGCCATTGCTTCAGAATGGGTAGGATTCAGTGGTGCACAGAGCCTTGGGAGTTGGGCCGTTAGTACTCCTCAGAAAATCACTCAGGCAATTGCCTTTCTGAGGTTGGTTCTTTTGTTTTGCTTTGTTTCTTCTGTTTTTAATTTAAAAAAGTAATGTCAGACCAGGTGTGGTAGCACATTACTATGATCTCACTTGGAGCGTCATGAGTTTGAGGTCAACCTGGGCTATATAGTAAAATTGGCCCACAAATAAATAAATACATAGATAGATAAATGGCTATGTTGGTAAAATTGAAAGATAATTTAACTAATTTAATTAGATATGTAGAAAATGTAGACATTAAGTATGCAGTAATATTCTGTTATGTTGTTTAAAGTTCTAGTTTTGTAGTGAATAATGTAGCATTCTAGAAACAGAAAATTATTCCTTTAAAGCTTGGATACAGTTTTTATGAAATAAATGTTAATTTTACTTAAGGAGTACTTGATAGTAGGCAGGAACTGTGCTGAGCATTCTACATTTACAATTCCATATTATCATTATGGCAAGTCTATAAGGTAGGCTTACTTTATAGATAAGAAGACAGTATTACTAACAGGGATAAACAACTAGAAAAGGAAATTTGTGGATCCTTGGTTTTACCCAGTTAAATTTATATATTGTTACTTAGGTATGTAAAACAATAACTAGATATAAACCCAATATGGTGCTTTGTAAAGCCAAATTATTTAGTGAATTTAGTAGTAGAAATAGAGAGTCAGTCTATATCTTAATTCAAATAAGATTGCTGCATAAGAAAGTCTATTTAAGAGTAGTGTGAAGATATTAGTATCTTTTAGATTTTGTTTGCTAATGTTTTGAGAGCAGAATAAATTTATATTTAACCTAAAATTAGTTAGCAATCTTTGGTTTGCTTTTTGTTGTTGTTGTTGTTGTTGTTTTTTTTTTTTTTGAAACAGGATTTCTCTGTGTAACCAGAGATGTCCTGGAACACTCTCTGTAAACCAGGCTGACTCCAAACTCAGACATCCACCTGCCTCTGCCTCCTAAGTGCAGAGATTAAAGGTGTGCGCCACCACTGCCCAGCTAGTAAGCAATCTTTTAAAAATTATATTGTTTAAGAATTTTATACATGCGTTTGTGTTTTGATCAAATCTACCCTATTCTTTCCCCTACAGTCCCCCTTTCCCACTTTCCACGTACAACTTCAAAGCTCTTTTTTAAACCCTCAGTTCGCAATCTTTGAATGTCAGTGTTAACAGGAGCAATTTGCCAATCCTATGGAGTTCTGTTGTTTATTTGATTGGAGGATAATGGCCCTCCAAATGTGTGTCCTCACCTCGAGAACCTGTGAATGGTGTCAGTTACATTGCAAAAACAAAGTAAGGTTACAGGTCATCTTATACTAAGAGAGAGAGAGGTAGTTCTGGACAGCTTGAGAGTTCATGTGAACACAGTGGTCCTCCGAAGTAGCAGACAAGGATAGAAGGATGAGTCAAAAAGAGTTCTGAGCAAAGTTATCATGGGCAAATGTGAGCAGAACTCTGCTGGCTGCTGGAGGCTTAAAAGATGGAGGAAGGAAGCTGGGCGGTGGCGGCGGCGTACACCTTTAATCCCAGCACTCAGGAGGCAGAGCCAGGTGGATGTCTGTGAGTTCGAGGCCAGCCTGGTCTACAGAGCGAATTCCAGGACAGGCACCAAAGCTACACAGAGAAACTCTCTCAAAAAACCAAAAGAAAAACGAAATATGGAGGAAGGGGCTGTTAGACAGCACAGGACAGCCTCTAAAAGCCAAAAATTCAAAGAAGTGGACTTTGCTCCTAGAGTCTCCAGAAGACATCTTAATTCATGTCAAGCTTCCAGTCCACAGAACTGTAAGATAGTGCATGTATGGAGGCAATGGAGACCAATGCAACTTAGTGTTTGTCAACTGGACACAAGCTAGAGTTACCTGGGAAGAGGGAACCTCAATTAAGGAATGACCTTGTCAGTTTGGCCTATAGTTTGTCTGTGGGGGCATTTTCTTGATTAATGACTGGTATTCAAGGATCTAGCCCACTGTGGGCAGTGCCAACCCTGGGAAGACAGTCCTGGGTTGTATGAAAAAGCAAGCTGAACAAGTCAGAGAGTGATCCAATAAGCAGTGTTCTCTACAGTCTTTACTTGAGCTCCTGCCTCCAGGTACCTACTGTAAGTTCCTGAAGTTCCTTCTCTTCGTGATGGACCATAATCTATAAGATGAAATAAACCTTTTTCTTCCCACGAGAAGCTCTTGGCCAGTGTTTTATCACAGCAACAGAAAAGCAAGCTAGAACCAATAGCTATTTTTGATTTGTTTTCCCTCCAAGACAGGAAAGCCCTGGCTATCCTAGAACTCGCTGTATGTAGACCAAGCTGGCCTCAAACTTGCAGAGCCCTTCCTGTCCCTGACTCCCAAGTGTTAGAATTAGACAGGTGCTATCATGCCCAGCTTGTGAATTCCTAAAATCTCGTTTGGAGTAATTCCTAAAATCTCATTGGAATAATTGTAATGATTACAGGCTTTGAAATATTTAGTTTTTAATTGTTGCATTTTTTGTCAATTAACTATTGCAAATTAAAATATTTGGTGATGGAGCCCACACAGTGCCATCTTGCCAATGTCAAGAATGTGCCACTGACTGTTTCTTACTAATACTTGGTTTGGTGTGCCACTGGGTGACACAACTGCCCTGAGACTTTCAGTTTTATTGTATGCTTTAATGCTATATGATACTTACTTGAGGTTCATTCATCATAAACATAGAATCATGTGGCAGTATTTGATTTGAAGACTATGTTCAGTATCAGGTGTTAGATAACCCTAGAGTGTGCATATAAGTTTTGGAAGATTAGTGTAAAATATAACCTATCGAGGATAATGCACCTCTCCTTCCTTTTGTTTTCTAACTTTTGAATGCTGTGCTTCATAGTGTTATGTAAGAAGTAACGGTTGGCATTGGTGGAATGCCTAGTTTGTGATAAGCATTGTCACAAAAGCAGGCATTGGCCTCCTATAAGCTGATTCTCCTTAAGTTGACTCCGAGTAGTTCTCAGTTAACCGAAACAGTTCACGTGTGTGTGTGTGTGTGTGTGTGTATTTTTTTTTTTTTTTTTAAGAAAGTCTTGCTGTATAACCTAGGCTGGCCTAGAACTGCTGTGTAACCCAGGCTGACCTTACAATCAAATTCACAATCCTGTGTAACCTAAGCAAATTCACGATCCTGTGTTCGCCTCCGAATGCCAAGGTTCTAGGCCTGTGGGGACACTGACCCTTCTCCCGTCTGACCTGACTCCATGTTTGTAATGGTGTCAGCGGCATGTAAGCCAAGTCTCTGGTTTTTACTGCTGCTTGGTAGCTGTTGTGTATGAGAAGAGAAACCTGAAATGGCCAGACCTAAAGCTTCGACCTCACTTTCTGATGCTAACCCTGAAAGCTCCCCTTGGGAAAGAAATGTGACCTAGTTTGTTCTGTTCTTGCTTGACACATAGATTGCATATGCCACTGTTGTAGTTTAATTTCTGTTGCTGTGATAAAACATCCTGACAGAAAGCAGTTTAGGGGAGAAGAGGTTTACTCCATGTGTAATTACAGGTTGCAGTCTATTATTGAGGGGAAGTCAACTCAGGAACACAGTAGCTAGTCACACATGTCCACAGCCAAGAGCAGAGAGAAATGGGATGCACCCTGCTGGCTGCCTGCTGCATGCCTGTACTCAGCTAGCCCTTTTCACTCTTAAGCAGTTCAGGGCCCAGCCCATAAAGTGGTGCCATCCCCAGAAGGCTGAGTCTTCCTACACCAACTAACAATATGACAACCCAGTCCCCAACAGACATAGTCCAATCTGATCTAGAGAATTTCTCAAGTGGGTTTTCCTCCTCAGTGACTGTAGGTTGTAGCAATTTGATGATTAAAACTATCAGCACAGTAAACATCTGTGGTTATCATGGAGTTTGTCTTGTTTCTGACATAATTTATCAGTGTTGTCTTGTTCTTATTTCTGTAATTTATTAACATTTCTTGCCTCATTCTGGTTTAGAGTTAGTTATTGTTCCCTTGTTCTAAAGTAGCTACAGAACAGCCTCAGACTTCACTAGCAAGTAATTAGAAAAGATGAATCCACTGCTTAAACCTTTGATTTTTTTCAGCCATGAGCTTAAGTCGTTCATTCACATCCTCTTTAATTGTAAATTGGAACTTAAAAAAAAAAAAAAAAGAAAAACACTCAGGCCGGGCGGTGGTGGTGCATGCCTTTAATCCCAGCACTTGGGAGGCAGAGGCAGGCAGATCTCTGTGAGTTCAAGGCCAGCCTGGTCTACAGAGTGAGTTCCAGGAAAGGCACCAAAGCTATACAGAGAAACCTTGCCTCAAAAAACCAAAAAAAAAAAAAACAAACCAAGACAAAAAGCCACTCATGTTTTCTTCATACTGAGGCTTATTGACAGCCTCTAGTAATGTTAGTGTTACACACACACACACAAACACACACACACACACACACACACACACACACACACACACACACACACACACACACAGAGCGCGCGGGCGAGAGCAGGAGAGAGAGCGCACAGGCATGGGGAGCAGTGGGCAGTGGGAAGTAGGCAGTAAACCCATGATAGTTAACTGTGTCATATGCAGTAAAGATGGAAGGAGGAATATTATACACAGAATAACTAACAATACAAAGGATCTGAAGTGGAACACACTACACTCCAGCAATCAAAGAAACAGAATGATCTAGAACAATGGTTCTCAACCTGTGGGTTGTGACCCCTTTAGGAGTCACATATCAGATATTTGCATTCT